TCATGAGCCAGAGGATGATTTAGGTATTAAAATCCCGGGGAGGCCCTCAGCACGACGAGTTGAGAGCTTGAGGCAAACTATTCAAAGAACAGCCTCATCTTTCCCAATGGAGGAGATGATTCGGCGTCTTGGAGCTCGTTTTGAATTAACCAGGGATTATTTTCAGCTCCCAAATGCTGACGGTGATGCAGAAATGCCTACAAGGGCTTCTATCCTGAATAGGTTTATGACTAGCCGTGCATTGCGTAGGGAGCAAAATCCTCCCATAGCTCCTGATGAAGTGGTTGACTTGACGCAGGACAGACCTGAGATCCTCCCTCGCAGGCTTCCACCTTTAACCTATCGAAGAGGACAGTTGCATAGAAGTGGTGCTGCTCTCTCACCTGCTGCCGCCGCTGCTGCTGCAGATAGGTACGTTGATGCATATCTACATCGATCTCCACCAAGAAGGAGCCAAGATCTGCAGCCACCACCAGTAGATGATCACGACTCTTTCTCAAGCATAGCTGCTGCAATTCATGGAGAGAGCCAAACAATGGATACAGCTGTTGAGATAGATTCCTTGGTGTCCCTCTCTACATCAACTTCAAGACGGAGGCATGACCCTTCTAGAACCTCAGATATGGATAGTGGGGATTCTCGTGCTCCAAGGAGAAGAAGGCTGAACTAGATGAAGAGAAAGATGGGTTCGCATCATTGAATGATTTGAAACCACAATCGCATTTCAATGAACTCACAGTTGCGTTTCGAAATCAACAATACAGTTGACATATAAGTAGTCACTTGTAATTGTATGGTCTTTGTTGTGTTAAACTAGTATGTAATGGACTTCTTATTTCAATAATTAAATCTAGTGATCTGAACTTGAGTTATACAACTTGTTTGGAGAATTCTCTTGCCATTGATTCTTTGACTTTTCAACATGCAAGGCAGTGTAACTGATGTTACCATTAGGCCAACATACCAGCTCCAAAATTGATCTTATTTAATCTTTGAAGCTTGTAACATTTACTGTGTATAATGCATTTTTTATTATAAGGTCCATTTATGGTGACCCACTTTGGTTACTGCAGTCCTTTTTATTGCACTTTAGACTAGTATTTCTGAGCGCTTTCCCTAAATAATGTTGGGAAATTCTCTAATTTCCAAATTACAACTAAACTTTTTTTAATTTACACCGTACTGTCCATGTCAGCGTAGGGAAAAAAACCGGTTTTTTTTTTATCGATCCAGCAACAAACCGCTACTTTATATAAACCGCTACTTCAAGTAGCGGTTTCTATTATATAAACCGCCACTTGAAGTAGCGGTTATTGTTGTAAATTTTTTTTTTTATTTTTATTTTTTTTATAATATACAAGTAAATCAGCCAAAACCTGCAAGTGTACCAGTAAAACCTTAAACCTACTATTTTCAGCCAGCAAAGTCCATATACCATATCTTCAACACAACCACCACAAATAACAAGTTTATGAACTTAAATGATACCAAAATATATAAAGTCTAATACTAATCAAATAATAAAAATATAAACAAAGTCTAATACTAATCATTTGCAAAATAAACATATGATAATGGTACCAAAATATACACCTAGCTCGTACATTGCTTCTTCCCATGAAGTGATGATGAAGGTGATGTAGCTGTCCCCTCCTCTGGAATGTCATACAGGCCAACTCCAACTCCAAGCCAAGGCTCACTATTGCCACGCCGTCGAACTCTATGATACTGGCGTTGCACTAGTGGTGGAAATGTGACGATAGTATGTTGTGGAGGAAGAGGAGGGGGTGAGGGAGGTGGAACTACTGGAGCAAAAGTAATAGCTGGATGTCGAACTGTAAGAGAGGGAGAAGGAGCATGTAAGGGAGAGGGGGAAGGAGCATGCAAGGGAGAGCGAGTGGAACCATGTAATGGAGAGCGAACGGGAGTCGGGGGACGAAAGGCACGTGATGAATGACCACCATGATGAGGTGGTGGTCTGATCGGGCGAGTGCGCACAATAGGAGCAGAAGAAGATAGCGAAGTGGACACTCGAGGCTGCTCAATAAGGTGCGAATGCCCCACCTTAGACAAGGTCTGCCCACAAAATGATGTAAGACTCTGTATCGTCTGTATGGCAAATGGTAGAGCCTTGTCCGATGGCAAATCAGAGATGGTCTCACTAGCTCCCAATAGCTTCGCATGCAAATCAGCAACTGCATGTGCCTACATTGAAGTGTAGTTTTAATGTTAGTACAATGAATTCAAAAACGAAACAACTACATTATAATTGAAATGAAATGAAGTTCATACAAGTACTAGGCCAGAGCTAGATGGCTGGTAATGACTCGGGGGGCGTTGCTGCGAAGGTGTAGTAATGATCAACCTCGTGATGCGATGGTACCAAGCCATGTACTCTATCATGACTAGTGAAGAAGTCCCAGTGAACGGGTTACCCTGGATTACTAATGCCTCTCGCCGACTCCACTCATGTACATGCTCTGAATGTCGAATCTCCCAATTACGTTGTCCCCTTCGATCCTTCTTGTGTAGAGCAACGCCCGTGTCAACTACCTGTAGGATCGACTGCTCTAACCCGAACTGACGCATGACTCGATCTGGGAGGTGGAACTCAACGACGTCAAAGAAAATCAGAGGGGCTCGTGTACGCTAAATGTGAATGTCAGAGCGACAAATCTCTGGAAGTCGCTCCATCACCGCCTCAGTATATGGCTGCCAAATCATCTAATTCCCAAAACAGGTATGTTATTTGTTTAATTTAATATAACTATTATAATGAACGAATACAAATGCATCTCCAAAAAAAACACCGATTATACCTGGTCCTCACGCTGATGGTCAAACGTATCTCACTACTATGAGAGTCCAGAAACAGTATGCGCACACGAAAGATGGACACGTAGCCAACTGTAAAAATTAGTTAATAATAATTCTTAATTCTCGAGGGACAGTAATGTAAGAACTAAAACTTTAAGCAATAGTTTACCTGCACGCCAAAGAGTCAACACCTCGCTCATATTGAGTCCCCAAAATGTCATCCTCCTCCTGAAGGTCCTCCTGCGGCGGATCTCAAGGCTTCCTTACATAGGGTCGACCAATACTAATGTGCTCCCACGACCACAACTGCAGTAGGATGAGTGAGCATCCAATCTTACACGCTCCTCTCTGACATGCTTGACATAGCTGATGGTACAAAAAACCAAGAGTCGCACTCCCCCAACTATAGGTCGAAGCTGTCTCCCAGTTTCTAAGTAACGAGAAGTAGTAGAGTGACACAGCATCACCACTCTCAGCGAAGAGAATATATCCCATGAGAGTAAGAATGTAAGCGCGACTATGTCGCTGAACGATAACGTCATCAGCTCCCTCTGGAATCTGTGAGAAGTGTCGTCTGAGCCACATCAACTTCAAAGAAGATCCCTCTAAAAAAGGCTTGCCCCTATCATCAACGGTAGGTCGAACTCCAAGAAAATCCTCAACAAGGTTAGGCCACCCCTCAAGCGGAGGACCAATGATAGGTGGGCCGTGAACTCTCAAACCTAATAGAACGACAACATCCTGTAAAGTAATGGTGGCCTCTCCCACCACAAGATGGAAAGTATGTGTCTTCTGCCTCCACCTCTCAACCAACGCAGTGAGAAGAGAACGGTCAAGCAAACACCCTCTACCCGCTATGCTATGCACACCGTAAAACCCAACACGCATAGTCTAGTACTTCACCCTCTACCCTCCCCTCACGTCCCAAGCTGACCACATGCTCCCTAACTGACAAAACTCTATCAACTATGCCACTCCAAACATCATGACTCCTATGGGAAGTTTGTAACCGTAGAACAGATGAATTAATTGGGCTTGGTCGAATCACCGGATCCATGGGACCTACGTGATAAGAGAAAATTGAATTAATTTTAAGCATGCGTAAAGAAAAAATAAAAATAAATAAGAATTAATAATTAGTCATTTTAGCAATATCTAATGGTCATTACCCAGATGATCCAACACCACCACTAATTGTAGGACATGTACTCTTGTTATACCCAGGTCGCCGACAAACACTGCATGCCTTCTTGACACGATAGGGACGCTCATCCATTTCATTCCGGATTCTAGTAGACAGTCGGCCTAGGCCTCTTTTCAGATCCGGGTTGGCTACAATATTAGGCCCATTGTAAGTGGACCAATGGCAAGGATCGAGAACTGGTGTGAAACGCTTCGAGTATGAAAGTCCATATTCGGCGGTCTTAAAAAAAAATCTACAAAGTTTGAGTGTGATAGGCTTTAATGCCGACAAACTGCTAGGACATGAGAGCATGGAAACTTGTATATTTTCAACTTCTCACAAGTACATGTCTTTGTCATCAAATTCACAGTGTGGGAGTTACCACCTTTACTAGCTTTTCTCCTTCCACGACCTGTCCTAACCTGATACAACCCTATGGCATCATAGTCAAAAGCAACAACCTCATGGTGCATGGCTTTCTCTATGTTGGCCTCTATTGTCTTTATAGCCTTTTTTGATAACTCATGGCCCTCTTTAAGTCTTCTTTTACTTCAACTTCGTCTAGTTACAAAATAGGAGTTAACTCGGAAAAAGGTCATTTGCACTAAGGCAGTTATCGGGAGACAACATGCCTTTTTTAAGACTCCATTGAAAACTTCCGACATGTTTGTAGTCTTCACACCAAACCTCAAACCACCATCATGGTGGATGGACCACTTATTGTATGGAATTTCCATCAAGTACCGACGAGCCTCTACATTCAAGTCACCGATTTTGTTGATGTAGTAATCAAACTTCTTCTTCTGCCTTGCAGTAGCTGCTTTGCTAAAAAGGTTCTTTAAGACGACACTTTTAAATTTTAAGTTCACATTAGAAGCCAAGTGACGTGTGCAATACTTGTGGTAGGCATTAGGCTCCTCCCAACCACTTCCAACCTCATCCATTGCTGCTAAAATGCCAGCATATCTATCAGATATCACACATAGCCCTATTCTATCTGTTACTCGAGCTCTAATACAAGCCATGAACCAAGACCAACTATCATTGTTTTCTCCTTCAACAACCGCAAATGCGAGGGGGAAAAGTTGAAAATTAGCATCGGTTCCCATAGCAATAAGTAGAGTTCCTTTGTATTTTCCATATAAATGAGTTCCATCAATGGTGATAAGGGGTCTACAATGACGGAATCCATCAACACATGGCTTGAATGCCCAAAAACTCGTTGGAAAACATAAGTTCCAGGAACCGTACTCTCCAACAGCCTCCACTCAACAACAGTTCTAGCATTTGATTCCCTGAGAGCTTGCATGTACTTAGGTAACTGTTGAAATGAACCCTCCCAATCCCCATAAATGAGTTTTATTGCCTTTTGTTTCGCTAGCCATGCTCTCTTGTGGGTTATTGAGAACTCAAACTTCTCTTTCACAAGTTGCATCATTGTCTTGATTTTCAATGAAGGGTCAACGCGAAGGACATCTAAAAGAGCATTGCAAACAAACTCGGAAGTGAGTAGCTTATGATCCACCGAGTCGATGTCACCAACACAGTAACTTGCATGAGGGCCGTTGTACCGAACAATTTTAAAAGTAGAAAGTGTTGGATCTTTCACTCCTTTAAGCCTCCACGAACAACTACATTGTTCTTTTCTCTTGCACTCAACAACATATTTCTCTAGCTCTGCCTCCACAACTCGAATTGTTTTATTTCTAGCTATGGAGTAAAACTTCACAGCATCTTTCAATTGTTGCAATGAGTCAAATTGCTGTCCAACCTCAAATTCCTGCCATTGTTATATGTCTCATTTCCTAACCAAGTCATCCATGAGTTATTCAAACGTGGATCAACTAGCGGCACTTCATTGAAGTCTGTAGTGGGAGCACTTTCTTTAATTTCCTTATCACGAGATTCAATTACATCTTCATCATCATCATCATCTTCATCAGTATCATTCATCTCGACATCCCCAAAAACATCAACATTGTTTGGGTCAAGAGAATCGAGAATGGCTTGTGGTTGTGTGCTTGTTGAGGTTCCAACATTAGGCGATGAGGTCGGAGACCTAATTTGTGAAAGATGTTCATTGACATATTGAGGATCAACAGGCATTCTTGTGAATGAGCCTACGCCCACACTTTGATTAGTAAGGGGAAATGGTTGCTCCATACTACAAAAAAAAATCCATCCCCGGGAAGGAACTAGTATTAGTTTGCACAACTGGCTCATTTCGAACCTGTTCAATGTACAATTGCATTGCAATAGAAGAACTCTGAGTCACAGAAATCCACATAGCCCTAAGAGCATTGTCGTCATTCAACGGAACTGCGACATATGCCCCAGCCATAGGATACCGCATAACCACCTTCAACTCCACAAATCTAGGATCAATACTCAATTCTTCATATAGCTTGTTCCGAACGTGTGAATATGTCATCCCAGGATTTACAAAAACAAATATTTGAGTTCCACCTCTATACGTTACATCACTATCTTTGTGGATAATTTCCCCACCCCAATAGCAATATAGAGGGTAGTTTGGTACCTCCATATTTCATTCTAGAAAACACCATGATTAATCAAAGATATTAGTTTTGCTTTCATTTATTTAGACGAGCATGAATATACTATGCTATAATTAAGCAAAATATATGATGACATTCACATACAATTAACAGAGTCTAAACTCTAAAACATACTTAAACCCTTAACAACCACGACGTGAGTATATAGTATACAAAAGACATGTACACAACACATAGGACCACAAGGACAAAAACCTAACATGCTTATTAGAAACTATGCTGCTGAACTTTTTGTATGACTTTCTGTAATGCAATGAATGGAAAATGAAGATTCTAGAGTATATTCTTTAAGCTAGATAATATGCTATGTGTGATTTGAACCTCAAATTGGCTAAAACAAGAACTTTTTGCTAGTGATGTAAAGCGAACCTCTGCATCTGAGGTAAAGATGGAGGCAATTTGGTTTCACAAGTCGACAAAATCAGCAAACTCAGTAATAAATTAAAGGTTATCTAATAAAATTTCACAAATACAGTAAAATTCAGCAATTTTACAAGTCGACAAAATTTCACAAATACAGTAAATTAATTGTACAGTAAAATTCAGCAATTTCACAAATCGCTCAAACAAAAACTCAGCAAACAACAGCAAATTCACCAAACAACAACAAACAAACCGACTAATTCGGCAATTGAATAAAAAAAAATTAGGGCACAATTAACTTACCACTAAATCAACAAACAACAACAAAACCCACTACTTTGACATCGGCGTCGGCAACCAAAGGCGTGAGGAACTTGGTGACGTCGACGGAAAATGCGGCGGCTTCCGGTGGGGATTGATGTGTTGGGGGGTGATGGGAGGAGTACTGCATATGGTCGAATTTTATTTTTTTGGGGATGTTTGAGCTACACTGAATTTACCAAGGAACGAAAAGGGGAAAGTGATTTTGCAAAAAAATACTTAGTAAATACAAACCGCTACATCAAGTAGCGGTTTCTAATAAGAAAACCTCTACTTGAAGTAGCGGTTTTAGTCTGTACACCGCTACTTCAAGTAGCGGTTTTTTAAAAAAAGCGGTTTAAAAATTATTCCCTCTGAACCGGTGACGTGGACGGTATAATGGGAATTAAAAAAAAAGTGGCTATACTTTGGGAATTAGAGAATTTCCCAACATTATTTATGTGCTCAGTATTTCTACTGCTACTTTCACTAGTAGAAAAAATGAATTAGGCACCGCACATTTCGCACCGGTTCTTGAAAACTGGTGGCAAAAGAAATGGGCGGGATTGGGGAAATGACTTTTCGCACCGGTTCCTATTAAACCGGTGCAAAATCATCTTTTTCGCACCGGTTTGAACCGGTGCGAATTACAAACGAAAAAAAAAACGGAAGAAAGGGATTTCGCACCGGTTCTAACCAAACCGGTGCGAAATGTTTAAAAAAAACCGGTTTATGGATTTCTTTCTCCTTCTTTCTTTTTTCCCCCCTACTTTCCCTCTTCGTTCTGCTCTTCTCTTTCTCTCTCGTTTTCGCATTTCCTTCTATTCCCGAACTCCACTCCATTGAAGCAGCTCGCTCTCTCTCTATTGAAGTGGTTTACGAGCTTTCTCACTCCACTGAAGCAGCACCTCCTTCTCTCTCCATAACTCTGGCCTCCATTGAACTCACGCATGCTCTATATTCTTCATTGAAGCCGATTCTGAGCTTTCTCACCTCCATTGAAGCAGCTTCGAGGTAAGATTTTTCTTATGGTCTACTTAATCCCTCGAATTCATTCGCAATCTAGGGTTTGTTGTTGATTTTCTTTTCAATTTAGTAATTTTAGGGTTGTGGTAATATAGGGTTTGTCATTGAAGCGCGCACGGCTACACCTCCACCACAACGGCCTCCTTGTCACGGCGGCACGACCTCGAACAGTGGACCTGTTGTCTGGTGAGCTTGCCTTTTCGGTTTGTGTTACTTGTTGTGCATTGAGTTATGCTCGAGTGGTTATGTCTTTCAACTTTGTTGATAATTATGCTGTGTACTGAGTTGTTCATTGAGCTATGCTGTGCAACCCCTCACCGTCAACTCCAAAAACAAACACCATTGCCACCAATGTCACTTTTAGTAGAACAAATGCTCTGCATCAGTTTTGCATTCTTGCCGCCCTTGAAGTCCTGAGTTCTATTAGTTTTTGTATACTGTTTGATATTTTTTTTGTTTGGTTTGGTTTCCTGTTCTCTAGGACATGATTGGTTTGTGTGAGTCGTTGTCTAATAGGTTTATGAAATTCATGTCGTCAATTTAGATATTCTTCTCTTTTCAACACCCAATTGTGTTAAACCATTGCACAACTTCGTTTTATTAGTTTCATTATTTTAAATGTTGTCTATGATCATAAGAATGTGGAAATATGTGTTGTTTTTTTTTGCTCAAATAAGGAAGTGCTCAAATATGTAGTCTTTTTGTAAATTGTTCAACGATTCTATATCTAAGGTTATTATATCAGTCAGAATTTTTTATAAGTCTCTCTTGCCTAGCATTACAAAGATCAGGGAGTATAGGTGGTAAAAACGATTTGTTTTACATTTGAGGTTACTCTCTATGGATTGATAATTGGTTTTTGTTGAGGGATTCCTTTGTCATAACCATTCGTCTTCGTTTTTCATGCGTGGTGTGTAGTGTGATAAGTGATGTGCAGAGTTGAGTAGTGTTTCTTAGATTTCAATGTTCTGTTTGCTATTGAATTTGTGTATTAATGTTATTGGTTGTTATGAATTTAAATGTATGCTAAGTGTTATTGATTTCTCATTCTTATTGATGTTCCTTGTATATCGTATGCTGATTATAAAATACTTTTGATAGTAAGCTTGTGTGAGACAGAAGCATTTCTTATTGGAGTTTCAAACTACAGGTCCAAGCAGTGCTCTTGCTCCTTGGAGAACGTGAGACTCATGCTGGAGTTCCAACAACTGAGGTTGCTTTTGGACAAGACAATAGGGTAATACTTTTTAACAAAAAAAAAAAAAATACATACAGTAGGTGATTCTGGTGAAGCTTGTGAGAACGATATAATTAATAACCTGTTTCCTATATACATGTTTTGAGCTGATTTTGTAATAAATTTGTAGGCCACTGGAAGTCCTGCGAGGAAATCCATTATATCTCACCGGATAGCTTCCTTGGTTAGGTTTCGGGAGAAAAGAAAAGAAAGGTGTTTTGATAACAAAATCAGGTATACTATATGAAAGGAGGTTGCTCAAAGGTGAGATTTTTCTCTAAGTTTTTTTTTTTTTTTTTTTTTCAGTTTCATATTTCTCAGTCAGTTTACCAAATTGTTATGGCTATGCTGCTGTATTCACTGTTGGTCTGTCGGGAGTTCTATTATTATCTATGCTAAGGAGGTCGTAGATATGTTGTAGAACTTGTGAACTCATTAGTTGTCACACCAAATGTTCACACTTATAAAGATGTATCAGCTTGTTCTGTTGGCTCTATGATCCAAGAATTTGAATTGCAGCAAATGTTTAGTACGTGTGCCTAAGTCCAACCCGTGAGGTTTGTAGCTATCTTCACTCATATATAACACCACACATCACAAAGTACGTGTAAACACATTCTTTACTTGAACCAACAAGGCAGACAGAGACTGTAAAAGCTGAGGTGATTACTTTTGTCAACTCAAGGGATTGCTTCTTCACACCAGTGTGCTTTATTTCTCTTTTCTATTTCTAGGATGCACCGCAAGAATGGCCAATTTGCATCTTTGAGAGAAGGTTCGACATCTTTCAATTTGGAAGCTAAAAAGAACTTAGTGGTTGGTAGAAGCCTGGGACCAGAAACTGTGTGAGTCCTTGTTAATTTAATCCCCGCTCCTCCCATATGCACAATGTGCTGAAGGATAGTAATTAATTTATCTCCGAATTTCTGCTTATTCCCTTTCTAATTTTCTCTATAATTTCCAGTTCAAACAAGTGTCAACATTGTGGTATTAGTGAAAATGATACACCAGCAATGCGACGCGGACCAGCTGGTCCAAGAACCTTGTGCAATGCTTGCGGACTGATGTGGGCCAACAAGGTATGAATTCATAATATAGTATTTAAAATGTTTTAGAGTTGAGATTCTTGAGAGAGATAAAATGTTATAATATCAACATATATGCATTGAGCTTTGCGTAATTAAAATAATGTGCTATAGGATAAAGGAAACCATTTGTGTAGGATTATGTCTGTGTAAAATGGTTTATGTAGTCGAAGTTTCTAATACTAAGGAGCGATTATGTTGCTAGAGAAGAAATTATGAGCCTGATTTGATAATTGAAACAAATTTGGTTGATAATTGAACTATGAAATTGGACCTATTCTCCCATTACTACTACTGTTTAATTGGAAATATGAATTTGGACCTCTTCTCCCAACAATGAACAATGATACAGTTAGAATTAAATTCATCTCAATAAATTAATCCAAAAGAAAAATCATTTTATGGTTTATATGCTGTATTTATAGGTAGTGTGATAAATAATAATGATCAAAGTTAGCAAGGTTTGATCTTTGATGACTGAATATTATTTTGAGATGGGATGAGTGATACTTGAAAACAATCATCAGTTTGGTAAGAGGCGATTTGCAATATAATTCATGGTTGTTTGCATATATCTATCTTTTCTGATGTATGCTTGACAAACAGACATTGGATTTTATCAAAGTCTTTATTTTTATCAATTAAGAGATGTCTTCAGGATTCAGGACAGGGTAATCAAAATTTTATGATCTATTCTTGACTTGTGCTGACCATATATGTCAACTTAGGCCATTCGAAAAAGATAGGAGGAAGTACTTCGCATTACGTATTTTGTTATAAGGTAATCAACTTTGTAATGCACATAATGGCCAAAGTCTGAGAAGTGAGAACCACTAATGTTACAAATGCTCTTGAGTGATCTTTGCTGACTTCGTAGTAAATTGTTATTCTAGTCTGTTGGTGCCTTGCATTTGATGGATTATTCTTTCTAGCATTGAGTTTTTTTTTTCCCATA